AGAGAAATCAACACCAGATATATCATCATTAAATTAATGAGTTTCAAGGATAAGGAACAATTTCTTTGGGGTCTCGGTAGAAAAAGCCAATCACTTAAAGGAGAAATAGTTTGTTCATAGAACATTTAATGTCAATGCCAAATACCAAAATACAAATGGAGATAATTTCTGGGTGGAAGGTTTAGGAATGATTTTTGTTTCCTTTTCATACTTTTCTGTGTTGTATGCTTCCTTTAATTGTTTTAAATGAGCAAATATTACTCATGATACACAGGAAAAATAATAAAACTACTTTAGTTTTGGAAAATAAAATAAAATAACCTACCAGAAATTTATTTTGTTTTCATGTTACCCCATTTGTTCTCATTTTACCCTGGATTTGAAGAGACTCTTAGAAAATCAGGCCACCAATGCCTTCAGTAAAGAGGATTTGGGAGAGAATTCAGATAAAACTATAAAGACAACTAAGTTTCCTTCAAGTATGTTAACATTTGTTAGTCTCTTAGACTTGTTTGCAGCACAGTGGAGTGATTAAGACTCATGCTCTGGAGTCTCTCAGCACTGAGTCTGCATCTCGTTGGTGTGATCTTGAGGAAATTACTTAACTATCCTAAGCCTCAGTTTCTTTATACGTTAAATGGAAAAATAATAGCAATGACTATCACATAGTCATGATAATTAAACGAAACAATGTATGTGAAGAGATTTCACAATGCCTGCCACATAGTTACCATCATCTTCATCATCATCATCACCAGCAGCTGCAGCAGCACCATCATCATCATTTTCACCATCATTTCTACTATCACCATCATCATCACCATCATCATGACCATCATCATCACCATCATCTTCACTATCACCATCACCATCATCTTCACTATCACCATCACCATCATCATCTCCACTATCATCATCATCATCATCACCATCACCATCATCATCTCCACTATTGTCATCATCATCACCATCATCATCTCCACTATCATCATCATCATCATCACCATCACCATCATCATCTCCACTATTGTCATCATTATCACCATCATCATGACCATCATCATCATCTTCATTATCATCGTCACCATCACTGTCATCATCTCCACTATCGTCATCATTATCACCATCATCATGACCATCATCATCATCTTCACTATCATCGTCACCATCACTGTCATCATCTCCACTATTGTCGTCATCATCACCATCATCATGACCATCATCATTATCTTCACTATCATCGTCACCATCACTGTCATCATCTCCACTATCGTCATCATTATCACCATCATCATGACCATCATCATCATCTTCACTATCACCATCACCATTACCATCACAACCATCCTCATAACCATCATCATTATCATCTCCACTATTGTCATCATTATCACCATCATCATGACCATCATCATCATCTCCACTATCATCATCACCATCATCACCATCACCATCATCATGACCATCAGCATAACCATCATCATCATCCCCACTATCACCATCATCATCACCATCACCATCATCATCTCCACTATTGTCATCATTATCACCATCAGCATAACCATCACCATCATCCCCACTATCACCATCATCATCATCATCACCATCACCATCATCTCCACTATCATCATCATGACCATCATCATCATCATCATCACCATCATCATGACCATCATTATCATCTTCAGTATCATCATCGTTATCACCATCTTCTTCACCATCATCATCACCATCAACATTACATCTCCACTACCATCGTCATCACCATCACCATCATCATCTCCACTGTCATCATCCTCATGACCGTCACCATTGCCATTATGATTATCATCTTCACTATCACCATCATCACTATCACCATCATCATCATTACCATTCCTGGCTAAGAGATCTTGGTCATGTCACTCCCCTTCTCTGAGCTTCAGCTAACTCATTATAAAATGGGGGACATGATACAGAAGGGTTTTAAATCGTTATTATGGTATCTAACACTTAATTCAGTGCCTCTCATGTGCAAGACTTACACTAGTGCTTGCATACAGTAGTTCATTTAATGCTCACAAACACCCCCAGTAGTAAATCCTTACTATCATCACTTTACAAGTGAGAGAACTGAATTCTAGTGAGAATTAATGGAGCCAGGACTTAAACTTTTTCTTAATGGCACCAGAACCCATGCTCTAGCCCACGCTGCTTCACCACCCTCTCTGGTTGTAAGGATGGAGGAGACAATGGGAATGAAAACCCATCAGCACAACAAAGTTGTCCAGGATCCTCGTGGTTGCTTGAAATTGTCCTCAGGGGCTGGTCTGAAGTCCCAGTGAAGGCAATAGAGAAGAGACCTGATATAGACATACCATGAACTCCAGGGTGCCTTAATCATTTGTTCTTGCATTGGTTCTACATACATTTACAGAAAACTTAGTATGCATTCATCACTGTTCTGGGAACAGTGACCATAACCAATAAACAAGTTATGTATGGCCCCAGCCCTGAAGCAACAAAGAGACATGGGGTGGGGGGACAGATTTGTCAATTTTCTACTACATTGTAAGCTGAGGTGCCACATTCTGATATACCAGAATCAGTAGTCCTGAGTTATCCACAGATGCTTCTAAAAACACCTAGGGAAGTCATGGGAAGTTAAAGGCCAGATCCCTATTCAGGCTTCAGAAAAGCTGTGAAATGACCCTCTAGGACGTGCTGCAAGTTGCCCAGAGGTGTTAGCTGCAGGACCAACTGGGTGCATGACACAAACACTTCCTGACGATGAAATATTCTGCACTCCACACACCCGAAGGCTGGTTTTACCACATTTCAATGTGTAACCATTGTTCCCACACATTTTCATAAATACCTTTAAGATATAGAGAGTCTGCTTTCTTTTGCAGTAAACAGCATATCAAATCCTGTCAACATCAAATTTTGAGCATTTAATTCATGTCTGTAGATACTGATGGAGAATCTACTCTCTGTCAAAGATTCCAGGCAAATAGAGACAGCATCCACTCTGGGGGCTCACGGTCTAGTGGGAGGTGAAGGACGGTCCATTCTGAGTCAAGTTTTTGGACTTCATTAGTTGGAGTCCAAGGCTTGCTGGCAGTGTAGTGGGGTGATGCCAGTGAAAGCTCTGCAGAGACAGGACTTGAATTGGTCCTGGCTCTGTGGCTCTGTGACCCTGGGTTGCTTGGTTGGGTGAGTTTGACGATGAGTGATTATGATATGTGCAATGCTCGCCTCCATGGAGCAGATAGTCTCCAAATTTGACTCTTTCCTTCCATCCCCACTGCCACCGTGCAAGCCTTCCTACACAACCATTGCCTCTTCCCTGAACTGCCTCAACAGGCTCCTGCATCCACTTGTACACCCTCCAGCTCTTTCTCCAAGCAGCAATGATCTCTACGAAATGCAAATTGATCACCCCAACCCCTGTGTGGAACCCCTCAGTGGTTTCCTTCAATAGCAAACCTTCTCCTTGATCTACAAAAGGCTGCTTCACTGGCACTGCTCACTTTTGCCACCTCATCCCGTTCCTATCTCCCTCAGTTGCCCAGACAGACTGGCCCCTGTCCTAGACCTTGACCCAACCTCTGGTCACCAATCCCTCCACATAGCGTGATCTTCCTAGATCTTCCCAAGCTGATTCTCCTCCTCCAAGCCACTTCTGCACTGTCACCTCCTGAGAGAGCCCTTCCCCTGCCACCGCTATGATCAACCACCCATGGCCCTGTGCATCTCTCCAGAGCGCTTATCCCATTTTCTTCTTATTTATTACTTTACTCACTTCCTTTCTAATGAAGTCATCTTGTCTTCCCCACCAGACGAGGGAGCTCTGTGTAGGCAGAGCCATTGTTTCTCCACCACCACTGTTGGACCAGACCCAGTCCAGTAAATAATGCTGAATGTTGACAGAATAATTGCCTCTAGCCTAATGATTTCCAAACTGTGTTCAGGGTCTCCCTAGAGTTTGTAAAGGTCCCTCGGGGACTCCCCTTCACTACCCACCTTGTCTTGTCTGAGAAACACCAAGGTGAAGATCTGATCAGCAGAGTGGGTGTGGGTATAAGGGGGAGTACAAGCAGGCCCCCAGCAGCCATGCTGAGCCCAGGTCCTGGGTCTGGCCACAGGGCCCCATCCCGTCTCACTGAGCAGGACACGTGGGAAGGGGAAGGTACAGACCTCAGAGATTCTCTGCCGAGCGTGGTACCCCAAGGGTGTTTGGAAATCTGTGAGGGTAGCTTGGGTTGTCATGGTGATTGGGGGCACCCCTGGCATTGGAGATGAAGGGTACTAAACATCCTGCAGTTGCACAGGACAGTCTCTCAAAATAAGGAATCATCCCGCCCCAATGCCAATGCCATCTCCACTGAGTAACTCTCAGCTGCTGCAGTGACTCAGGAACTGGGGCCCACCATACGTCCAGTCAAGGGACATTAAGAAGGATAAAAGCCTAGCAAGTTGGGCAGGGGCTTCTGTCCCCTCTCAAGAAGGATTAGCAGAAAAAAGCACGAGATTTGGAGACCAAAGTCTGGCTCTGCAATATTCACGAGCTGGGTAAACTTGGGCAAGTCAAGTAACCTCTCTGGGCCTCCGTTTTCTCACTCAGGGATGTGGTAGCTGATACCTGCCTCAGTTATTCTGAAGATTAAATTAGAGCCATTTTAAACACAATATATTCAGTCAATGTCAGTTGCCTTATAGATCAAATTTATACATATGGTACTCAATTTGTAATGCATCACAGCATGATTCAGAGGGCATTTGGAGAGCCAAGAGGATGGTGAATCTCTCATTTGGATAGGCCAGGTCAGAGAATGGTTTTTATACCATTAGGGCTTCAGAGCTAAGGGATAACTCCGGCCCTCACTCCCAAACAGGCTCTTGCCAAGAGAGAATTCCCCTGCCACGTGGCTGGTTCTAAGGCTCAGCATGTGGAGATGGATACTCCTGGCATGTCTTCTCAGAGTGAGTAATTCCACATGCTGGCTCTCACACTGCAGGTGGCATTCCATTCATCTTGACTGCCGAGGTCTTCGAGCAATCACAGAAGCCAGCTGCCTTCATCGTCGCGGGCACCATCAACTGGCTCTCCAACTTTGCTGTCGGGCTCCTCTTCCCATTCATTCAGGTATGACCAAAAGGGAGCCTCTTGTCCCTGGGATCCCCTTTGATTCTGCAGCCCTCTGAGGGGTGATTCGTAGAGCAGAGGCTGATCTCTCTTTCAACTGGGGACTTATCTATTGTCCTAAGGAAGAAAGAAACTGTGCTTCAGCCAAACCCCGTAATCCCCCTTCTCCCTTCTGCATCTTCATAGAGCTGCTTCTAAATGCCAGGGGCTGCCTCAGAAGGAGCAGGCTACCCACTGCTGAGGGTGTGCAAGGAGACCTAGGTTAGAGCCTCAAACCTACAACCTACTTGTTGTTTTATACTTATAATGTGCTTGTCTCTGTGTTAGACAAATTCCAAGAGATAGCCCCAGGGCTCCCTGCAACCCTGCCACCCATTTAACATCCTCACTGTCATCATTATAACCACAGCTAGTGGGGTCACTCTCCCAAGGGTGACAGTGATTGGTAGGAAAATGGCCACATACTCAGGATTCAGATATAAGTTCTTTTTGTGTAAGCAAAGAATCTATCCATTCCCTTGCTCGTTAATTCAACACGTATTTATTGACCCCCTACTACGTACCAGGCACCGTTTCAGGCAATGGGGACAGAGCGGGAACAAGTCCTGTGTTCCATGGTCCTGGAGCTGGACAGGGAAGCAGTGGGGGCAGACGTGTTATTTGAGACAGGGTGGCCTATGAAGGCCTCTCGAAGAAGGTGACGTTTGAGCAGAGACCTGAGTGCAGTGAGGGAGTGGAGCAGTGTGGGAATGGCAAAGTCCAAGCTAGAAAAATAGCAGGCACAAGGGCCCTGAGGCAGGGCCATGCTCGGCCTGTGTAAGGAACAGCACAGAGACCAGTGTGGCTGGAAGAGGGGAGAGGTCGAAAATTAGATCAGAGAGCTGTCTGAGCAAGAAAACAAAAGACAAGGACTTTGCAAGGGTTCTGCACAGAGCAAGGAACCCAACAGCATTTGCAGAAGGAGGGTGAAGCTCCTTGCTTGAATGACCATGAGGGCTCCCTGCAGCCCGTAATACCAGGTGATACCACCTGGAGAAAGTGGGACTCCAACAGATGCCTCTGAGAAAGAATCCACCATTCATTCTCGGACTCTTTGACCCTGTCCCCCTCATTCCGCCACCTGTTCTGGACACTCTGCTCATAGTCTGCCTGCTAATTTACTAGTGCCAAGCCCAGAACTTCCTGGATATTCTGCTGCCATCTCAGATGAGGTGAAGGTCAGTGTACCCGGCACACCAAACCCCAGCCTCCTAGCCCCAGGCCCACATGACAGCTGCACCTGCGTTCACAGTTACAGAACAGCTACTCTGTGCCTGGTCCCCGGTGTCCATGACAGCCTCAACCCTGAGCTGGAGTGTCTCATCTTTGCCATTTGGAAGACGGGGAAGCTGAGCACCAGGGAGTAGATATGGTCAGCCCAGCTCCTGCAGTTGGCATCACACCCAGCTCCTTAGCTCCACCGCCTCTTCCCCTCCGGGCGCTCTGTGTGCCCTTACTATAGCGTCCTCAATCTCCGAGTTAGAAGGTCAACATACCACATAACTTTCAAGGCATCTTTGGCTGCATTTTAGCAATAACCTCCCCGTCTCTGAAACATAAGTGCCGTGGGGGACTCCATGGGCCGTGGCATTAGAGAAGCCCCACACTCATTCACTCCCAGCCCTGGACACCTTCACCCAGTGGTGGTCAGAACATAACGAGTTGTCTTTCCAATTGACTTCAAACCTTAAATGCCATTTTCCAATTTGGTTCAAAGCCAGCAGATCCAGGGGTCAGTAAAATATCCATTGTGTGGGGAAGATGAACTTCAGGTCGCTTCTCTGTCAGTGCTGATCCCACAGCCTTTGCAAATGAAGTGGAGACATTCCAGAGCCTTCACATGGCCCAAAGCTAAGCTGTGTATGTCCATGAAGCAGGCCACTATCTCCTGAGTGATCTGGAGGGTGTGAAAGACCTCACTGTACCCCCAGGCCAAAAATGCCATCTCATTTCCTGCCATAGCTTGGGAGTTAACAGCACTGACATGCCACGTTAAAGCTTGTGTTTATTGAGCACTTGCTGTGTGATAGGCGATACCCAACCTCTGTCGATGCTGGCAGGTAATGCCTTTATCACAGAAGAGGACACTAGCTCAGAGACATGTGGTGACTTCCAGCGCCACCCCACTGGGAAATGGCAGAGCCGGAACTTGAATCTGAGTCTCTCAGCCTCACTTATATAGTGAGGGAAGAAAGGAGCCCTTGATTATTCAACAGATGACCCCAACCTGGGTAGTTAATTTGTCATATATATCCATATATCTATCCCAGAGAGGCCTCTGGCTGAAACTGGATCCCTCAGACCTTTATTTCACATTGCTCATATCTGGCAAATCATAGCCATCCACAGCTTCTTTTTTTTTTTTTTTAAAGATGACGGGTAAGGGGATCTTAACCCTTGACTTGGTGTTGTCAGCACCACGCTCACCCAGTGAGCCAACCGGCCATCCCTATATGGGATTCGAACCCGTGGCCCTGGTGTTATCAGCACTGCACTCTCCCGAGTGAGCCACGGGCTGGCCCCATCCACAGCTTCTGTCAAATACAAATGCAGTCCTGCATTTTCCTTGAGATACTCTCTTAGACTCAGTGTGCGCAGGGACCAGTCTTATGTTCAGTTCCATAAAAAGCATGTGAGCTCAGCCTAATCTGTTGATTACTTGTCAAAGAGAAGGTGGAGGAGGGGACATTTGCTGTGTCCTGGCTCACCTATGCAGTCATGCCACTGCATGGAAGATCTTATTACCCCCATGTATCAGTCAGGATGGGCTAGGTTTTGCTGCAGGAAGAAACAGCCCCCAAGAGTCAGTGGCCTTAACCCCCCAGGATGGTTTCTCACTCCCACTAGCTGTCCACTGCAGGGGCTGGAGACCCTGTCCCAGGGCTCCCCTTCTCAGGGGTGCTGTCCGGCAGGGCTGCTGCCCCTGTGGCAGGTGGGGGGGGATGTGGCACACCTTACACTGGCCCTTTACAACCCTGGCCTGGCAGTGACATGTGCCACAACTACATAAATTCCCTCAAGCAAAAGTCACACAGCCACACCCTACCTACCACACCAGGAAACACAAACTGCCACTGGTCCAGCAGGACACTAGCCAGGGAGTTTGTGCCTGTTCCTAATGACAGCACATGAGAAAAGTTAGGCTCAGAAGGGTTAGGAGGCTCACCTGAGGCCCTGCAGCTGGTTAAAGGAAGAACGTGATCACACCATGGGCTTGTGCCCCTTCCTCTGCCCCACGCAGCTCTGATGTGCATCAAACTCCTTTCACAACAACCCACTTTCTGACGACCTTTGCAGTATGTTGGGGGGATCACGTTGATGTCAGCTGGCTTGCTTTCAGCAGGGCACACCTTGATGGGTGCCAAGGGATCCTGGGAGGTTTCTGGGGTCACCCTGCTCTGGACTAGCTGGAGCAGCTGAGGGAAAACTAGGAACAGGACTCCTGGTAGTTATGGTGTCCCTCCCGTAAGAGCCCCAGAGAAGCATCTGTGTTGAGACTGTCACTCATGCTAACGGATTGATCGCATGTCAGTCTGAGAGCTGCTCAGAGCCTGGCCTGAAGCATGGGTGCAAGGCCAGGGATCAGCTCAACTTAAGGGCCTCGGGGCAGAAGGGATGCCACCCCCCACAGAGCTGAGGTCCCTCTGTGCACATATCTGTGTGCCTGTCTTAGAACATCCAGACCAGCTATTTCCTCTCGGACAAGCCAGGGGTTCAGGCTGTGATGGGAGGGGTGTGCTCATCCACTCTCCCTACAGGCTTGGGTTTCGAAGTTTGGGCAAAGCAAGCAGATGTGCAGGGGGTTGGGAAGAAAGACAAGCAGTTGGGGAGGCTGGAAGGTGGTCTCCGATCCATTCCATAGGAGATGTTGGGCTCAGATGGCATTGCTGCCTTTGGCATTTCGGGGCTAATTTGGAGAGTGACGGCTCTCACATCAGAGGGAGAACACCTGACCTTGACCTTGACCTTGACTGGCAATATCTGCAGCCATACAAGGGATGTGGGCAGGTGGCCTGGAAGAGCCAAGAAGGAATTTCAACCACACAGCCTTCTGAAAAGCTGATGGGGCTTCATGGGAACCAAGGAGCTGAGTGAACTGAGGACGTGGTGGCTCTCAAGGAAGAAGGGAAACCCCAGTGGACGTGTGAGTCCCCTTGCAGCATTCCTACTGGTGGCCATCAAGCCTTCACTTGGACTCCTCTGGAAACAGGTCTTACGCCTCCTAGAGGAGGGACAATCCCATCACTAGACAAATCCAGTCCTTAGGGAGCTCTCCCCTGGATGGGCCAAAACTATTATCATAAACACGAACTACCATGTCTGTCTATGAAAAATGGTCAGAGCACTAAGCCACCTTGTATCCAGATGTGTGGCATGAGGCCAGGCCTCGACCAAATGAAGGGCTGAGTGGGAGTAAGGTTTGTCAAGGACCCACAGTGGTCACGGACACATGTGATCTCATTCAGTCCTCACAGCCACTCTGCAGGAAAGCTGCTGCCTCCACTCTAAATGGAAAAATAATCCTGGGTGTCATGACTGGGCCAAGACGATACTGCTACCAAACAGCGGGACGAATATGCAAATTGAGTCTATCTGGCCCTCAGGGGAGCCACACCAAAAACTATTTAGATTTCAAAATGCAAGTATATAGTATTCATTCAGTAAACCCTTGTTGGGCATCCACCATATGCAAGCATTGCACAAGGTGCTGGGGACACATCCGTGACGAGACCAGCATGCCATCAAGGGCACCCCTGAGGGCTGTGGGGGAGGGGCAGTGTGCACCCCAGGGTGGTCATACCAGGCAGAGGACAAGAAGCCCTGCAGCACGGTGCACACAAAACTGCAGCGGGACTCGCAGGAGGGAGCAGCGCCTTCAGCTGCAGGAGTCTGGCTGGGGAGGCTCCTCAGAGGAGGGACACTGGGCTCATCTTTGAAGCGTGAGTGCAACTTAGATCCGT